AGAAATCTTTAAATTTAGAAATTCATTTCTAGTTGTAATAAAGTTTCAACTGTCATTATTTAATAATAAAAAAAAAATAAAAAATAAAAAATAAATACTTGCTAATATAAAATGAAAACAACGATTTTTACCTTTGGTACCAATAACTTGAATTCTCCATATCTCTCTCTACACCAATCCCATTCCGATAGCACTGAGCAACAAATAACATTTAGGCAGCGTCACCCATGTCAGCAGATTTTTGACAGTATACAAAGCCCTTTTGCTCATCTTTTTCAATACTAGTACCATTTAGATAACAATGAACTCCAAGAGCATAATTCATATTGGCAACTTTCTCATAAAATTCGAAAGCCTTGCGTTCATCCTTTGAAACTCCAATTCCATGGTGATAACAATAATCACTCCATGAGCATAAACTACCCATTTACCGATAAAAACCTAGTTTTTTTGCCATTTTTTAAATACGTAAACCATTAACAAAAAATTACAAACTTGAACGCTGCTTAATCTTGCATTTTTATTATACATTTTACAAGACTCTCATGGCGCCCCATCGTTTGAAACTATAATTTCGTTTAACAAGAACCCTCCTGAAATTAAACAAACCAATCAGAACGTCCATTACGTCTTTAAGATCTCAACTAATTACATGACTAAGCAACCAATAATAATGGAATTGTTTTTTGAGATGTTACATATATAAGTAATAATTATATCTTGGGAAGTTGGGTATAAAAATGTGGGAGAAATTACTTTTCTTAATAAAATATTTTTGTTAAAATTGTAGAAATTGCAGAAATTATTTGATGTAGAAATTAGTAAAATTAGGTTTTCAATATTAAAAATTAATTGAAACAGCTAAATCAAATAAAATATTTATTTGATAAGAATATCAAGAATGTAGAAATTATTGAAATTATTGTAGAAATTAAAAAAATTAAAAATAAATTTCACCCTCATCTATAGTTGGGTATAAGCAACGTTGCTAAACGGCTTGTTCATTGGTAATTGTCGCATCCTTTGATTATATTGTTTATTGTCCAATGTGATAAATAGCATCATAAAAAGATGTGACAATTACCAATGAACATGTCCATTTAACAACACTGGGTATAAGAGAAAATGAAATTTTCGCCGAGGGTATAACTGATTTATACCATGCGATCTTGATAGTGAGTGACCAGGGTATGATGCTTGTTTAATTTGATTCCTCTCCCACTGCGCTTAAGCTTGGATGGAACGTTAAACGAAATTATAACTTCAAACGGCCTTAATATAATTTTTAATCCAGATAAAATTAGAATTTAAAGATTTTTTCGTTGTTAACGTTAAACCATTTAAGTGAATTAGTGGTGCCTCAGCGGCAATTACGGTAATGATCAGCCAAAACTCTAATACCGTAATGATTGGACCGTTACAACCGTTTTAAATTTATTGGTCTGAATCTCATTCAAGCAAAAAATGCGATTTCAACTTTCAACACAACGCATAAAATTATCATCGGTTTTAAATAAATGCGTGGTCAATCCACAAAGATTTTTATCAGCTACACAATCCTTAACATCCAAAATAGGCAGCAAAATTATTAGATACCCACCTGAGGTCATAATTACACACGACCGAACACCCATTACTCAACCACGCGTTAAAGCTGATTTAAATTCTACAACTCTATCGATATCAGGACCATTGGGAACACATTCTATACCAGTTAAACCTTATGTTCGTCTTACATTTCATGAATCAAGTGTACCTTATGTAAAACCTGAAGATAGAAAACCTACAACAAATGATGATTTTATTGATGAAAGCGATTTTGACAAAAAACTTCGTGTTACAGTTCAACATCCTGAAAATAAAGAACAAAGAGCCATGTGGGGTACAACTCGCGCCTTAATTGCGAATTATATTAGAGGTGTATCAGAGGGTTATAGGGTTTCATTAAGATTTGTTGGTGTTGGATACAGAGCTAGTCTAGAATCCGATGGCAAACTTTATCTTGAAATTGGTCATGTTAATCCTGTAGTAATGGAAATTCCACCAGGTATCAAATGTATCGTACCAACACCGACCAAGGTCATTTTAAGTGGTACTGATAAGCAATTAGTATATAGGTTTGCAGCACAAATAAGAGAACATAGAAAACCGGAACCTTATAATCAAAAAGGTATTTTCGTAGGAGACGAAACCATTCAAAAAAAGACGAGCAAGAAAAAATAAAATTACATTATATATAGAGCTTTATTATAAATGCATTTTATGCAATATTTTATAAATGCATTTTTTATAATATTTATTATAAATGCATTTTATAACATTATTTATCGCGAATTTTTTCGGAATTCGGTTAAAATTAACGATAATGATAATGATAGAGATTTATCTGTTATCCCAAATTGGAGGTTACACGACATATTCAAAGCTTATTTTTTCTTTAAAATGCTTCATTGAGGAACGAGATAATTTTCTCAGCTAAAGAAAAATGTTAAAATTCTTGTTCGTTGCCCCTCTTATTGCTATATTAACCGTTCTTGTTACTGGTCTGCGAATCAAGATCCAAGATTCCGTTGACTTTGTTTACGATGAGTTCCAGCTTTCCAACTTGCCAAATGAGGGGAAAAGGCTGATTCAAACAAGTCCGTCCACGTCTGAATGGATGACTGAAGAGCAAGTTTTGGGCTTAATTAGGAAAAACATAAAATTCATGGACGTAACAGATTACCGTTCTTTGGGAACACGATATAAGGCTTTTAAAAAACACGGCAGGTTTCGTTGTTATTCACCGAGGAATATTATGCAGCTCGTTTAATCCACAAAAATGAACTAATTACTAAATAAACTTGTTTGTTATATATAGAATTCCCACTTAGCACTGCTTTTGAAGATGAAGTCATGCCTTTTATTTATAAACTTTCTACCGAACACATGCAAAAAAACCTCGAGAAATTCACATCTTTTCGTAATCGATATTATCGCTCTAAATATGGTGAAGAATCCTCTCAGTGGTTATATGAGCAGGTTGCCAACATTGTTAAAGCTGCAAATTATTCGGATCCAATCCTATCAGTTAAGCAATTCTCACATAAATGGGGTCAAAAATCTATCATTGCAAGATTCCGAGGTTCTGATGATAGCAAGTCAAATGAAGTGGTCATTATCGGAGCACATCAAGATTCGATCAACATGTGGATGCCTAGTTTTGGCCGAGCTCCCGGAGGTAATTTTTTATAGCATAAAGTTACTCTCGTGTATATATTGTAATTAGCGTTGTCACCTGCCTGAAGTTAGTTGACCTTAATCGACTGAAGTTGCAACTGACTGGATTATTACTTGATGCAATTTCGGGGGCTTAATTTCAGCCAGATGCAGGACGGTGAATACTTCCATTCCATTTTATTCCAATATCAATTGACCAATCAAAACTTGTATCTAGTGCTAGATGCAAGTTCTGATTGGTCAATTTAATATCGGAATAAAATGGAATGGAAGTATTCACCAGATGTAACTCTAGTCACGATATATTCACCTGACAATCTCTATATAGCAAAGGTTGGAAGATTCATATATAATATATATATATTATATATTCTATCAGTAAGAAACTATTTTGGTTACCTGATTTTATCTATAATTATATATAATGTTTTAATACGTCTTTTAAATTGATTACCTGATGAAAATTTTTAAACCCGTTTTTACTTTAATCATGCAGTAATTAATTTTTATTGCGTAATGGAATGAGTTAATATATTACATGAAATTCAAAGACTCTTGTTGTTCATCGTGCATTGACATTCACCTAACACGTTATATTAATCTAATTTTTAAGCTGATGATGATGGAAGTGGTACTGTTACGATTTTGGAGGCTTTTCGTGTGCTAGCTGAAGGGCAATTTAAGCCTTCGCGCCCTGTTGAATTTCATTGGTATTCGGCGGAAGAAGGCGGTCTTCTGGGATCTCAAGCAATTGCTTCGCATTATGAAGAAGTAGAAATAGACGTAATTGCTATGTTACAGGTGATTAAATTATATTTGAATAATTCATTTGTTCAATATGAATATAATTTGTAAATGTTTCTAATGTATAAATATTTAGAATGATATGACAGGTTTTGTGGGTAAAAAGTATCCTGAAGCGTTTGGAATTGTCGTTGATTACGTTGATTCGGACTTAACCTCATTCATCAAGAAACTGATTAAATCATATGCAAAAATACCTGCAAGAGATACAAAATGCGGGTGAGTATTGAACGCTTTTTTTTTTTAAAAAAAAAAAAAAAATCAATAATAACTGAAATTTGCGATTTGTAGTTATGCTTGCTCTGATCATGCTTCGTGGATAAAAGTCTGTATTTCATTTAATGTTTAAATATTTGTAAATACTTTATCTGATATTTAATTTTTATTTTTCCAATTCAAAGGCTGGTTATCCCTCTGCTTTTGCTATCGAGGGTGCTTTTGAAGATTCTAATCCATACATCCACACTTCTAACGACATTATTGATCACCTTAGCTTTGAACACATGCTTGAATTCTCAAAGGTAACGTATACATCTTTTTTGATCTTCTAAACAATCAACACTCAATCAACTTTGACAATGTTCAATTTTTGCTTTTAAACAAACAGCTTTCTGTCAGTTTTGCCGTTGAATTGAGTCATGTCTAATTATATGTGACGTTTATTTGAATGGATATTTATAATGATGTAAATTTTTAACTAGTAATTGTACCAGAATAGAGTTTTTACTAAAAATATATAGTGATTTTTAAACAATTCTCGAGTAGCGATTTTTTTCTACGGGTACAATCTTTATATTAAATAAATTGAGAAATTAACTTATAAAGTATTTTGTCGGTTTATTAAGATTGATTATTCATACATTGAAGCCGGTATGAATCCATATCTTTTAGGACGAAGAATGAATTTTTTAAAATTTTTAAGAAATTGAGTAAAACTCGGTGAAAAGAAATGATCAAGTACTCATTAATAACCCTTCACTTAAAGTTTCAAAAAAAAAAAAAAACTGATAAACTTGTCAATTAAAGTTGATATAATTAAAACCCTAAATTCAAAACTTATATATACCGGTTTCAAAATTAAAAATTAACATGAGTGACGGTCAGCGAAAACCTGTAAATCGATTCACTATCAAGAAACGACCCCTGATGTAAAAATAAATTAAATGTGATAAATACACAATTCTAACCATTCTAGTCGCTTCTATTACACATCTTATTTTGCAAAACGCTTCTATCAAACAATTGCTAAGTTAAAAATAATAACATATGTAATAAATGTGTTACTGAATAATCATATTTCATCATATTTCATCAGGGGTCGTTTCTGGTTAATGAGTCTATTTACAGGTTTTTACAGACCATCACTCATATAAGTGCTGCCAAGGGAAAACCGTAACTGTGAATTTAAATTTTCACTAGAGTTCTATAGGTAAAGTTCTTTTTTTAATCAATTAGAATTCTTGCTAATTAATCAATAAAAACAAAAAACATGGATTATACACCATTACAACATTATATAAAACAGACAAATACAAACTAGTATGAGTAAATATAAATAGAGACTTGTTAATGCCATGCCCAATTTTTGTTAATGCCACCCTCTACATAGCTCTAATTGGCCTTTAACCCTTCCGGAAACTCTATGAACAATGCTTACCCTAACTGCTAACTAATTAATCACATAAATTCGCACCTTTTCTAAATACTGTCTGTAGAATTTTCAGGATTTTAGACCGGTTAGGGGTGGCATTAACAGTTCTCTATAAATAATATAAACTTAAAATTAATGCTATTAGGAACTAACATTTATTAAAAATCTTGAATAATGATACGTAGATATATTTACTAGGAACAGCCCTCAGCCTAGGGTTCAAGGCACAGGAACATGGAGCATGTTCATAGGCATGTCACATAGTTAAAAGGCATGCCTATACTTAAAAAAATATTATATGATTAGTAAATTTTTTTTTTCCTTAAGCAGTTACATTAGTACTTTATTAAGATTTTGAAATTATATTTGCAATTACATAAATATTCTTAACAACTAAATTCAGCATCATCTGGTCATCCTAATGGTATCTAAGTGCAACCTGTTGCATTACTTCAAGCAGAAGTAAGCTGTTGTTTAACTACTTAAAGTTTATAATAAAAGAATTGTCTTCCTTCTATGACAAACTCTAAAAATTGGTTTTTGTACTTCTTTTTTGATTTGTTTTTCTTTTTTTCTTATCTTTTTTCTATTCTTTACTAATTTAGTTTTCTTCTTTTACTTGTGTTTTTTTTTCCTTCTTTTTTTTATCTTATCTGGTATTTTTTTTTTCTTATTTGTTAATTTTTTTACATTAGATTCTTTATACTTGTTTGTAAAATATATCTCAGGTTGTTTTTGTTATTATATTTATAAACTATTGTTTTGATTTAATGTTTAGAAGTTGCTTTAATTTGTCTTGTGTTTCTTTTAAAATAAGATCTTTAATTAATGGTTCTTTTATTTTTACTTCCTTTATTTTTGTTTTTCTAAATAGTACTATATATAACATATATAAGAAGATTTGAATTTTTTTTTCTTCTTTTAGTTTCTTTCAGGTTGTTATAATAATTATTTTTTAGATTCTTTTTTAAAGATTTTTTTATTTCTTATATGCTATCAAATGTATCTGTATTTCTTTTGTTTTATTTTAACATACTTGATATTCTGTTATTATGTACATATCTGGTCTTCTTTTGTTGAGTTCTTCTAGAGTTGGAAGTTTATCCATTATATACTTTATAAATATATTTCTTCTAGTATTACTTTTTCTCATTATATAATATATTCTTTTAGTTATCTTTAGTCTTTTTCAAATTATAAATTATAACTTCTGTTTTTAGTTCTAAATCTCTAATTGCTTTTATTTCTTTTTATTCTGCTTCTAATCTTGTGTTTATTATTAATTTACAAAACAATCTTGCTAGTATATCAGTATTTTTGTTTTTCCAATCTAAACAGTACTCTATTTCTTTATAACTAACTTTTTTAGTTTGTATTATCTTTTTACTTATTGTATCTTTTTTTATTAAATTATCAGTTTTATTATTTTATCTATCTTTACTTTAGTTTTTAACCTTAAAAAATTCTATCTAAATAATTTTTATTATAATAAGGTCTCTGATTTTTATCATCCATATTATATTTTTCTTCTTAAGAATTTTGTTTCTGTCTATTTGTTCTAAACTTTTACTAACCTTTCTTATTGCAACATTGTTATCTATATATATTTCTATTTGTTTTTTTTTTGATATTATTAATATTGCTATTATATTATTATTAACTCAGTTATTGTTAAGTTTATTATTTTTTTAGACCTAGTATTAACTCTTTTTTAGGTCATTCTTATGTTTTATTTATTTGAACTTATTTTATACTTATTTTTAATTATTGTATCTTCTTTAGTTTTTATATTTGCTACTCTATTTATATATATTATATACTTGTTCTTATTTCTTATTATATTTCTTCTCAAAACTTTTATTATTTCTTAACTAATATTTTTTTTTAAATTTTATTATCTAATCACCTCTACTTCTAGTTTTTCTATTATTCTTAGTTTTTTGAATTTTTGTTTTTCAATTACTGATCTGTTTATCTTAATTGTTTCTG